CTGACAAACAAGAAAAATAGAGAAAGAGATTTTAAAGAACCTCAGCTTCTCTCCACTGACTCACAAATGTGTGTTTAGATATTCAGATGAAACGGAAGCTTCAGCTGTCGACAAAATGGAGAAGCAAGTTTTTATGGATCAGACACTTTGAGATTCGTCTCATTTTTAATAGTGAAAATAATCTGACTTCAGTTTCAGAACATTTTCTCTTCAAATCACAGGCAACTGAAGATTTCTGGGTTTTTGTTTGATGAACAAAACCACATTTTAAGAAACAGAACTTCATGAGGGGTTTGATTTTGAAACATTTCAGGAAACAAACAGATCAAGGGAAAGACGCTGACAACAAAAAAAATTAAAATCCAGTTTGACAGTTTGTTAAAAGCTGATCAAAGCTGACGCTACGATCGGGACAAGCTGGTGATGCAGATGAGAAATCGTCTGATTTCAGTTCTGCCTTCGCGGAGCTATAGACTGTAAATAAACAGGGAAGCCCAAACATCTCCATCGCCCCCTGGTGTCTGGCTGCAGTATAGATCATAAACCCTCCTCTGTGTTAGCAGATGGGACCTGTTGGTATCTGACATATTTTAGTGTAATTTCAGGAGGAAGTGGAGACGAGTTGTCTTTATTTACATCATTGATCGTTGGTTTATGGGTAAAAACAACTTTCTAAAACGAGATGAGCAAAGAGCTGGAGTCTCTTTTTAGTGAGAGTCTTATTTTTTAATAAAAGCTAAATTCATTTAAAGCTCTGATACAATAAAATACATTAAATATAAATATCTTCTGTCAAAGGTCACGTGATCATCAACAGTTTGACGTCTTCAGTCGTCCCGTCTCTCTCAGGTCTACACTTCACTTCCCGCCTCCTGAGACAGAATCATTTCTGTGTGTTTCGTCATGTGTCGTTTCATATTTGACACTTGAGTGAAGCTTTTTCCACAAACCGAGCAGCTGAAAGGTTTCTCTTGAGCTTCTCCCGTGTGCTGCGCCATGTGTCGTTTCAGATTCCCTCCCTGTGTGAATCTCACAGAGCAGACGTGGCAGCTGAACGGCTTCTCACCCGAATGAGTCCTCAAATGTTTCTTCAGAGCTCCGCTCGCGATGAAGCCTTTGCAGCAGACAGAGCAGCTGAACGGTTTCTCTCCTGTGTGAATTCTCATGTGAGCTTTCAGGTTGTGTTTGTGATTGAATCTGTTTCCACACTCACGACAGCGAAACGATTTATCGCCCGGTTCTACCTCTGCGCTCTCCTCGGTTTCATCCCGCTCCGACTGCTCGCCGCCACACTTGTGTCGTCTGAACCCTGACAGCCACGTGAACTTTTTATCACACACGCTGCATCTGAACTGTTTCTCTCCCGTGTGGACGGCCATGTGTTGAGTCATGTGCACCTTCTGTGTGAAACCTTTACCACAGAAAGGACAACTGAACGGTCTCTCACCCGTGTGAAGCCTCTCGTGTGTCTTCAGATTCACCATGCGGCCGAATCGTTTCCCACATCGAGAGCAGCTAAACGGTTTCTCTCCCGTGTGACTCGTCATGTGACCCAGCAGCGACCTCTTGCAGCCGAATGTTTTCCCGCAGTCAGAGCAGATAAAGGGTCTCTCTCCTGTGTGAATTCTCACGTGAGTCTGCAGATGTTCCTTCCGGCCAAATATTTTCCCACATTGGGAGCAGCTGAAGGATTTTTTAACAGCGTTACATCCCGAATCATTTGCAAAGTTTAAACATGATTCATTTCTCTCAAACACTTTCAATTTAAATTCAGAGCAGTTTGAAGTCTTGTCCTCAGGACCTGGTTGTAAATGTCCATCAGGACCTGAGTTCCTGGCTGGTTCTGGTCCTCCACAGTCCGCTCTGTTGTCCTCAGTCGGACTCTGATGAAGCTGTGACGGCTGAGGTTTCTCTCCATCTTCTTCACTCTTCACAGCGACAGGAGTCAACGTGAACTTGATGTCAGCCTCCTCCAGTCGTTGAAGCTGCGAGGATTCACCGCCACACTTGTGTCTTTTGAGCTGATAAAGCCACGTGAACCTTTTGTCACAAACATCACAGCTGAACCTGTTCTCCTTCGTGTGGACGGACATGTGCTGCGTCAGGTGTCCTCCATGTTTGAAGCTTTTCCCACACGTGGAGCAGCCGAACGGTCTCTCTCCCGTGTGGATCCTCATGTGAATGTTCAGATTGTCTCTGCGGCTGAACACTTTCCCACACTCGGAGCAGCTGAATGATTTCTCTCCAGGATCAGCCTCCCTGTTCTCTTCCGTCCGACTGTGACGCGACGACTCACAGACACACTGGTGACTCTTCAGCTGCGTGTACCAAGTGAACCTTTCGTCGCAGAAGCGGCAGCTGAATCGTTTCTCTCCCGTGTGGACGGACATGTGATAAGTCAGATTTACTTTCTGTGTGAAACTTTTCCTGCACACCGGGCAGCTGAATGGTTTCTCTCCCGTGTGAGTTCTCATGTGTATCTTCAGGTGTGGACTGCGGCCAAATATTTTCCCGCACTGGGAGCAGTTGTAGGTTTTCTTTCCTCTCACCTCGGGCACAGGGACTTCAATGATCTTCAGGGATTTTAAAACCAACTGAGGTTCACTTGGCTTTACTTCACCAACCTCCGTCTTTAATCCTGAGTCTGTCACAGCGTCCACTCGTGAACATTTATCTGGATTCAGTCCACAAACTGATTCTGACTGACTGCTCCACGGTTCCTCCTGCTCCTCTTTAAAGTGGGGGAGCTCTGGGTTCTCCTGCTCCACACCAGGAACCTCTTCTTCAGTCACCATCAGCTGCAGGACGTCTGCAGAGAACAGGAAACACACGGAGACAAGTTCAACTGGTTAATCCTCTTTTAATCTTTGACCATTTTCTGCAGATTAATGGAAAATAGAACACAGGAACCACAGAACTTAATCAAACAGTCGAACCGTCTAAAGGACTAGAAGAACCTCAGAGATATAATGAAAGTTATTATTTATCTACAGAAACTTTTGATGAGTCTCCGCTTGAGAGCGAAGTGTCTCGTAACATCTAGAGCTGATGCAACGTCTGTGTGTGTAACCATATCAGAGCTGGTGTTTGCATTCTCCTCCTTTTTTACGGGCAGCAGTAGCTCAGTCCATAAGGATTTGGCTTGGGAACCGGAGGGTGGCTGGTTCAAGTCCAGCATGGACCATAATCATGGAAGGTGGACTGGTAGCTGGAGAGGTGTCAGTTCACCTCCTGGGCACTGCTGAGGTGCCCTTGAGCAAGGCACCGTACCCCCCAATCGCTCATAGGGCGCTTTTCCTGGGGGCTGCCCATCACTCTACCATCTCTCTCCATAATGTGCATGTCTTGAGCCCTGTGTGTGTGTGTGGGATTGTGGGTTAATGCATGTATAAAATGAAAAACATGAGTGTAAAAAGAATTTCCCCTTGTGGGATCAATAAAGGAAGTTTACTTACTTTACTTACTTACTTACTTTTTAGAACCAGATGAGACGTGTGCATTTAATATGATGTCATCATTCTCCAGACATGTGACTGATGAAATACATCAGTTTATAAATATGAAAACGTTAATAAAGACGATGTTGCTGCTGAACGAGACTCAGGAGGAAAAGATTTGAAGTTGAATGTTTGAAAGTGAGAAATGAAAGTTTTTGTAAATGTCGGTCGAAGCCTCAGTTTTAGATGTTGAAGGGTTAAACATCACGTTGCTGTCGTGTCACAGCTGCTGGAGGAGACGTTCTTCAAGAACCACCAACAGAACCTCTTACATCTCGGTTCTTTGTATCATGCTCAGAGGAAGGTGACACGTTAACACGTTCTCTCAAATGTTTAAGAGTCCTCGAGAACTTTTGTTTTATCGACTCTGAGATGGTTCCTCTGTTCTCGTCGTGTTGTTCCCACCTGAACGTTCATGTTCTTCACTCTTCACACCAGTTACATCCTCCAGCTGTTCTCCCTCCTGACTGCTCCACTGTTCCTCCTGCTCCGCTTTAATGTGGGGGGGCTGAGTTTGGACCTCTAGCTCCGGACTGGGGTTCCACTGCTCAGACAGAACATTGTCTTTATTCACCAGCAGCTGCTTGACATCTGCAGAGAACCGTAAACACACAAACATCTTTGCTCAGTTCTAAAACCAGAACCATCAGGAGAACCAAGCTAAAGACAATAAACACAAGAACCTTCAACAGAAGAACCTTCAACAGAAGAACCTTCAACACAAGAACCTTCAACACAAGAACCTTCAACAGAAGAACCAGATCCACTTTGTGGATCCTCATGGACGACCAGTCTCCGACAGGACCCCAGGCACGTTCTCTACAGATGTTCGGTTCTCTACATGTGTTTTATTACAGATGTTCTGTGACAGATTCTCTCTGATGACGTCAGTTCTACCTGCAGGAGCCTGAGTCACCTGACCAGAAACGGCTAACAGCAGCTTAGCATCATTAGCAGCACGTCAGAAACAGAACCAACCTGTTGCTCTCAGCTCAACTTCCGCTTTTAAATCTACATCCGGTTCTTCGGCGTGTTGCTCCATCTCTCATCGCGACACTAAACGGAACCTTGACGGGTTTTCTGTCCGTGTTTACATCCGGACAACGGTTCACTCTGCTAACCGCTAGCAGCGTCAGCTGCCGGAAACATCCGCTCTCACTTCCGGGGTGGATTTCAAAATAAAACAGCTGATGACTACTATATATTGAGAATTGTGATGAAGAGGAGACATCGAACAGATGATGAAGAGGAGACATCGAACAGATGATGAAGAGGAGACATCGAACAGATGATGAAGAGCTGAAACACTCAAAATAGCTTTAACTTATCAACAATGGAATAAAAGTGTAATTATCATAAGTTATATATAAATAAAGTTTATAAGTTTTACCAGTAACTTTATTTAGTTTGTGAAACTTGAGGTCGTTGACCGCTTGAAGTCGTAACTGTGACGTATCTCCTGATTGGAGGAGATCAGTGTGATGTCATGTGACTCCTACAGCAGACTAAGAGGATTATTGTGTTTCCTCTTCAGCTGCTGGTTTCATTCACACAGAAGAACAAACTGTGAATGAGAGGATGATGGATGATGGATGATGGATTGATTGATTGATTGATTGATTGATTGATTGACTGACTTATTGATTGATTGATTGATTGATTGATCGATTGATTGATTGATTGATTGATTGATTGATTGACTGATTGATTGATTGATTGATTGATTGATTGATTGACTGATTGATTGACAGATGAAGCTGCATGTGATTCTGCTGCTGATCTGCTGCCTCTGTCGTCACAGAGTCGGCTGCAGTCTGCCCGACTTCACACCTGCAACCCCTCTGCTGCAGGTAGGACAGGTGCATGCTGGGAACAAATGAATCCATGCTCTGGTTGAAGTGGTTGAAGTGTCGTTGTGTCCATCAGGTTGAGGAATCTGTGAACTCTGAGTCACAGGTCGTCAACGTCTTGATGAAGAATGACGTCAGTCGACTTCCTGGACTCTGTCGACGTCTGAAGAGACGAAGAATCAGTGTCCTGGTAAAACCTCACCGCTTGATTCAGCAGAGACCAGAGACAAGAGACACAGGAAATAACCTGTCCCCCTGTCCCCCCCCCCCCCCCTTTCTCAGTGCAACCTGGAGAAGTTCTGTTGGTGGAGGCGGGGTCAGGGGCGGAGTCAGTCCGGTCAGGTGTGTCGTTGTCCTCGTGGATCCAGATGTTCTCATTTCTTTGTCCACAGTCTCTGAACCAATCACGTCACAGGAAACTCGTCTTATTTTCTGCCTCTTTGTATCAAACTGTTGAAAGTTGAATAAAAGTAATAACGTCATCATCTACGTCTCTTTGTCTTCGTGTGTAAATTTTAAAATAAAATGATTCTGATAATAAAAAGTTCAGATCTGTGAAATGTGCAGGAGTCACTCTGATGACGTCAACCTCTGTGTCAGTCTGACGTTTCCGTTTCCAACACACCGGAAATAACAAGACGGGGACAGGAGGTGACGCACGTTTGTCTTCAACGTAAAAGCTATGAAAATAAATCTGAAGATTCTCAAACAGGTCAGTGTGTTTTCAGACGTACGAAGGCAACTGGACGAGGAATATTGCGGTTAAATATATGTATGTATATAAATATATATTATGTGAGTCACTACGTGATTTGTTGACATTAGTTATAATCTAGAGTGTTTATATACATACGTAATGAAGCAGTGCTTTTATTCTGAAGAGGGATTGCAGGAAGTGTACGGTGTGTTTAACGGGAACATGTCGGTGTGAGGCCGCGGACACTTTCGGTAACAGTCGGTACTTTGATCCAGTTCACGTTGAGTCGCTTCGTTAAATCGTTAAATCGTTTTTTTCTCCGCCGGTGAAAACTTCTTCTTCTCGGTTCCCGCGCTGGATTCAAAATGGCGGCTGTTTCAGCGGATTACCGTGTGTTCTGAGCTGGAGCTAAACTAGCTAACGTTAGCATACATCGGAGTACAATGGTAAGAGGCTAACTGTTAGCATTAGCAGGCAAGCAGCTGGACTGTTAACATCTTTTATTGAAACCGGTTTATTGTCGGTTGTTCCCTCAGCTTCAAACTAAATAAAATGTGTTATTGTAATTATTAATAAACTGTAGAACATCATTGCAGCTGTGTTAGCATCTTAGCCAACGTGCTAACGCCTTTGTTTTGAGTCTGCAGAAGAGAAACGTTTGATGACATCATCGGTTTCATGGATCGAACCTCAGAGTTTATCTTCTGTTCAGAACACAAGTTCTTTTATTGATCACAGAAAACAACGTCAGAGTTCATTTAATTTAAACTTAAAGACATTTAAGTAGAAAAACTACACGAATCCAACATAAGATCTTCTTTCTGATCGTTTTAAGTTTTAATCAGATTGAATGTGTGATGTTTGTGTTGCTGAGGCTGAAAATGTGAACATGTGAATGATCCAACCCATTGATTGATCTATGTCATGTTTCAGGTTCCAGCAGCCTGGAGCCAGAAGTAAACAGGTCAGTGGATCCATCATGTAAACAGACTGACAGGAATCCGTGAACAGTATCGCTCGGTGTCAGGGTGGCTGCCGCGGCGTCCTGGTGGAGGAGTAGTCTAATGGAGAGCGACTGTCGGATCCCTGTGGCGTGTTGTCGTCCCCGAGTTCTCGTCCTCCACGCTCTTTTCTGGGGTCTCGTTTCCCTGAGGTCAGTCCGTACGCCGAGGTCACAGTTACAGAATATAACCACTAACCGTTAGATTGTTGAGGACGCTGACTCTGAATCATAAACTGTACACAAAGATGGACGACGTGACAGCTAACAAAAGTGAAGCCCTAGTATCTTGATCGCCCCCTGGTGGCTGCATGCAGTATAGGTCTTAAATCCCTCCTCCTCGGTGTTAGTAAACGGGATGAAAATTCAAAGTAGATGTTAAATACATTTCAGCTCGTTCTCATCTCACTGATGTTTGTTCAAGTGTTTCTCATCCGTTTGGTTTAATTAGTTATTGATGATATAAAAACAGGCGGAGACGTCATGATTGACAGCTGACCCTGAGACAGGACCTCGATACCACGATCAGTACTGCACAGACTGCGAGTAACATTATCACCACAAGATGGCAGTGTTATTATCTGAGATATACAATGTCATGGTACAGTGAGGCGTCAAACTTATAGAAATATGAAATAATGAACTTTGCACACGTTTACAAAGTTCTTCACATGGTTCAAACAGCTGCAGACAGATGTTTCCGTCAGTGAAGGAGAACAGAGATAAAGTAGAAAACAGTAACACGATCCAGTGTGTTACAACTTGTGTTTCAGAGTGTTTGGAGCCGCCCTGCTGAGTGAGGACAAAACTACAGGTAACAGGAAACAAACTGAAAATCACAACAATAAAATCAAAATGTCTCCGGACAAGAGCAAAGACTTCTGGGAAAATGAACCCTGACTTTCTTCTGCAGCAGTGAAACCTGTGGTCTCCCCCTGCTGGCTGCTGGAGGACTTTATTGTGACCTCAGCGTGTTCGCAGTGTAACACCTTCCAGACTGTAAGTGTTTTTATACGTTTGAGGATGTGACATGTTGGAGCGTCTAGGTTCCAGAACACTTCTTGACGTCTTTGTCTTTCAGAAGTCGTGGTCGTCCTGTGAACAGACGGGTTATGTAGAGAGAATCAACTGCACCAGATCCAACAAAGACGAGTACAAGAGGTCAGACGTCCACCGACATGAAGACAGACATGATCTTTAGCAGTTTTATGTCATTTTAAAAGCATCTGTTTAATATTGTTAAAAGATCTTCATTAGTGTTATGTTATTGTACATCGTCATGGAAACTGTACATTACAATTCATATGAATAAACCGAGTAACCGCCTCCCTCCGCCTCCCTCCGCAGCTGTCGATCAGCCGTGATGGAGGAGCATCTCTTCTGGAAGTTCGAAGCGGCCATGTTGGCTCTGACGGTTGTCTTCGCCATCGTGGTGGTCGTCCGTCAGCGATGGCTCGACCGCCTCGCATCGGAGAAAGTCCGTCGACAAATTGAGTCCATCTAGGACTCGAGGACCTGATCTGGTCCTGGACAGTATTTTAATGTGCGAGTTGAGAGTTCGGTCTGAAGACGTACGGAGGTCGATCAGGACGAAAGGAACCTGCAGGAAACTGGACTTTTTTTTCTTCAATCCAAACTTTATTTAACATGACGGGAGGAGGCGACATAAAGTCAGAACCAAGAACAGAAAAGTCTGAATCTTTTACTTTATCAAGATCTTCACTCGTACAATTCAAAAGTTGAATTCTCCAGGAATTTGATTTCAGACTTAAACCACTGAGACATCAAGTCGTCATTAACGTAAATTCAACCTGGTGTCAAGTAATTCAATCTTAATGGAGAATTCAACTGTGTAAATGTAAATTGTTCAAACTTATTTTCAATATGAAACAAATAAAGGTGAATCAGGTCAGAACCCAGTTCTCATGTTGACTCTTCGCTCTGTTTTCTAATCTGTCCTTCACCTGATTGGTCGACCTCACCACACGCTGGGCTCTGATTGGTCCCTGCTGCACAGTTCACACATAAATCTATGGAGGGGCACGTCGGACTGTTGTCGTCTAATTGGACTGAACACGATGATCGACAGGTGACGTTTCATTGTTGAACAAACGTTTGTCTTCAGATTTTATTAAATGTTTGTTTTTCTGACTAAATCAACAGTTTTAGACGCTTGTTAAAAATGTCTGAACTGAAACGAGAGAATAAAACTCACAAATAAAAAACTCACGTGTTTCTGCAACTGAAGAAAAAACACCAGAGAAAGTCTTATACTTTAAAGTGGCCATTTTAAAGTTGAATTTATTCTAAATTAAACTTTTTATCTTGTGATGCGATGACCAGCGTCACATGACGTTCAACTTAACATCGGGAAGTAAAATTGTAAATATTCTGAAGCTTCAACGCCAACAACGTTTTTATTGATACAAAACTTTTGTTGTTTTATAAATAATTTGGTCAAAGTTTTGTTCCTGAGTCTTGACTGAGTGAAAACC